TTTAAAAACTCACTACTATTCAGTAGCTTTCAACACCAGATGATCTGTGTTTTGAACCTGTACGCTCCACACTGGTTAGTCGTCATATTTATTATCTGCGATGTTTTTATGTCTATATTCTGATTTATTTCATTTTGTATTTTGCTTTGTGTGTTGCCTGTTTTTCTGTCTGTACAGCACTTTGGTTGGCCTTGTAGCTGTTTTAAGTGCTCTATAAATAAATTGATATGGTATGGTAATATTTGTTTGGTGATCTGATGCATTTAGGCATGACCAAAATGCAAAAACAAAATATGTAATGGGGTAAATGCCTTTTTCACAGCACTGTATGTGAAGTGTTTAATATAGCTAACCAGAGGTGGAAAATACCCAATGCCTAATTTTACTGTTGTTTTTTTTTTTCAGTCTATTATTATAACTTCGGATGGAAAGACTATGGCGTAGCATCTCTAACCACAATTCTTGATATGGTGAAAGTCATGTTGTTTGCTGTTCAGGAAGGAAAAATGGCAGTCCACTGCCATGCTGGTCTTGGAAGGACAGGTTGGTAATGTCTCTTATTTAGAATTCATTAGATTTGTTTTCATTTGAAAAATTTCAGTTTTGTGTTTTTATTTGCCTTCATTTAGGTGTGCTAATGGCTTGTTACTTGGTCTTCACCACCCGAATGAATGCCGACCAAGCTATTCTGTATGTGCGAGCAAAGAGACCCAACTCCATTCAGACCAGAGGGCAGCTCCTGTGTGTACGAGAGTTTGCCCAGTTTCTTGTTCCTTTGCGAAGTGTCTTTTCATGTGCAGAACCCAAAACAAGTGCCGTCACTTTGTCTCAGTACCTTATCAGGCAGCGTCACCTACTTCATGGCTACGAGGCTCGGCAGATGAAAAATGTGCCAAAGATAGTCCACCTGGTATGCAGGCTCCTCCTCAACATTGCAACTAACAGACAGGTGGTGATTAATGAACAGAGGCTGGAGATTCCTGATCTCACAGCTGAAGTGGAAAAGACCGTGTCCCAGCAGGCTCTTCAGCAGCTTGGCAAGGAAATGGTAGGAAAAGGGATCCCTGTTCTACCTTCTTCGATGCATATGCTCAGACCACCATCGCTACATTGGGATCAGCCTCTCATTAGTGACAATGAGCTCGACCCTCTGTGGAGGCAGCAGAATTTAGAAAGTTCTCTAAAATCTTCTCTGTCAAACAACAGAAGCCTCAGTGATCCTTTGCTTCACAAATATGGACAATTGCAATACCAAGAAGGAAATCTAAGGAACAACAGTCCTTCTTTGTCACACAGCAACCCCACAGTCTGTGACTTTCCTAGTTGGTGGTATTTTTATCCACAAGACATCCAGAGCAGCATTCAAAATCTTAAAATGGAAGCAAATCCAGGCACCAGATGTTCAACTTTCCAAAAGTCACTACAAAAGAGGCAACACAACCTAACTTTGGATCTATCTGAGCATGGCAAAAAAGCCCTCTGTAATGCCACACTACCTTCCATGCTGCTGATGAGCAGCGAGAAGTGTGTGGATGGAGAAATGGACAGAGGAGATGCCACAGAGCTTACTTGTACTGCCCGTCACTGTGTGCCCTCCTCAGAAAGCAGACGAGTATTGGTGGCTAAAGCACTGGCCATGGACCTGAATGACATGGTGCTCTCTTCTAAGGTCTCATGGTGGCAGGTATTCTTTTAAATTTATTGTATGGTACCATGGAGCAATGAGATGTAGCTTATTATATGTATACATCAAATATTATTAAAAACAATTGTAATAGTAAATATTTAACAGCCTCTATCCTAAACATTAACTATGTTTACATGGACATAAGTAATCTGATTAAACCGATTACTTATGGATTAAATTTGAATAAAAATGCATCATATAAACGCCCCATTCGGATTGATTCAGCTCGATCTGAATGAATTTGTAATCCGAATGAGAGGGGTGGTTTATACCGATTCATAATCTGAACGGTGTGCATGTAAACACTTAATCTGATCATTTTATTCGGATTGTGGAAAACTTGACCTGACTACGCATGTGCGACCTATGTTTACTTCATGCATTTCCGCCTGGCCAGATGCTAATATGTTGGGGAAGCAAAACTGGTCAGTGAGTGACACAACACTTCTACTAGAAACTTTAAAAGAGCTCAAAATTATCTGTATTACCTGTAGCTCAATCAGGGAGTGCAGTAACGTCTCCACCATCATTAAATCCTGGCACGGGTCCATTTTGGGCGCTCGGGTTCGTTTACGTTCATCCCAGAAGTAGAACGAAAGTAGAACTACTTCTTCTGTGGGTTTTTAAGGAAAGTTTACCACTCTATGTAAACGTTCGTCATGATCGAATTGTGTCCATTTAAATGATACATTCGGATTATTTAATCCTAATACATTTCAATCCGATCAAAGAATTTTGCACATGTAAACATAACTATTGTATGTTTTAGGTGAACAAACGTAATTCCAGCTAGAGATGCACCAATCCACTTTTCCCACATCCGATGCCGTTATCGATACATGAGGTTTAGTATCGGCCGATATCGATCTGATACCCAAAAAAACCAGTGCTGAATTCCGTTCAGCAAACTCAGCGTGCTCTTTAGGGTGAAATCTCTGGAGATGCTTGATTAAGTTAGTAGTGTTATAGCTGGAAGTTTTAGTGCCACCCCTTGGAACCGTCGCTGCACACGTATTGCACGTATTGCACGTATTGCACGTAGCTGTCGAATGTGTTGGCTGAGGTAGGGTGAAGTAGTTCCAGATGACTGATCCTTTCGCTCGCTCCATTTTGAAAACAATGTGCGGTGAGTTCGCTAGCAAGTGACGTCGCTCAGAGCACAAAGCATAAAATTAGAGTGAATAGATCTGCCCAGTCATGGATCGGTCACATTGTCACCGATCCAGAAGTTTCTCGATATCGGGCCTGATACCGATATTGGTATCGGATCAGTGCATCTCTAATTCCTGCTCAGGATGAACCTTTCACAACAAAGAACTTGTGATTTGATCTTCCTTTCTTACCTCCTTAAGTCAGTATTTCACCAGGCTACAATTGTTAAAGACTAGTTGGTGAATTCAGGAGGAGTCTTGATGCCTCAAAACATGGAATTCTCATTTTCCTCATGTGCGTCACAGACGATGGCAGTCTTATCGCTTAAATTTTAAACACGTTCAAAAACCGTGTGGGATAAATTTTCTTTTAAAATAATCACCGGTGTCTCTAACCTGTCTCAATTTTGTTGCAGGTCTCTCAAACATGTAAGGAGCACAAGAAGTGTATTTTTGATAGGAAAAAAGGCTAAAATAACAAATTGCTAGCTAAAAGCAAAATGTTGGAATAGGATAACTAAAAGTCTCAAAGAATCACCAAAACTATCAAAAGGTAAGATATAAGCTAAAGTAGCAAAAGCCTGTTAAAATTGGCAAACTTGTAGCCCAAAGCTAGAACGAGCATACAGTATGAAGACAAAAACTATAGCCAGCGTGCTGAAGCAGATTTCAAAGAGAACAATGTTTTGGATGAAAGTAAAGAAATCTTAATGCATTTCTATTGGGGAAAATAAATGTAAAGTTAAATACTTGGAAAAAATATAAAAATTGTTTAAAAAAAAGTCATATCTTCCAGCTCTTGAATGAGCTAAACATTTTAAAAATAAGTAAATAGTTAAAATAGCACAATTTATGCAGAAGTACTGAGACTAGAAAAAAATGTACAGAAAAAACAACAGAAAAACAATAGTGTGAATGCTTAGTCATTATTTTCACAATTATTGAAAAACTGGCCTGAATCTGCCTATTTTTATTTCTAAAGCGTACCTCAGTAGATTTCCCGTAATTCTAAATGTCGGGGTGGTTACCATGGTGGCTACAACAGGGTTACCATCAACTCTGTAAATCAGGCAAAACCTGGAAAATGACATTCTTATTTTCCAGACAGCGGAAGGAAATTTAAGAAAAAAACAAAAGATCAGGGGAAGCTCAGGGAATTTAAGTACTGAACTGCTGATTAAAAAATTACCTTTATGAGATTTTGACAAGTACACATATTGATGATAGTATTCTAGTATCATTAGGTCCATGTTTTGTTTCTATAAGTGTACATAGTACATGTATCCTTACTGGTTGACTGGTGGCTTTTCACTATCTGATGTTACAGAATAAAATGAATGGTTAGTAATGATTGCCGTACCATAGGCTACAGCATACTTACTGCCATCACTAAAGGTGACTCTGCCTGCCATGTTAGATGCTAAGCTCCAAGCATTTTGTGTGACTAACATGTAGAATTACAGGATGTACTTAGAGAAAAATCAGGGAAAACAGTGAATTTTCATTTCATGAATCTCTGTGAACTCTGCAAGCCAAAGTGATTTATATATACTTGCATTTAGAGTTGCACCCTCAGTCAGTCACTTATGACTTTCCACCTCTCTCTGTCTTCTGACACATTCCCTCCTAGTGGTTTTCGACTGAGTTGCACAATTTCCACCAGCATCCAGTTTTTCAACAACACAGGTGGCGGTCGTTGTTAACTCGGACCTCAACCAATCCAGTATGGTGGTGTTTAGATGAACTTGCATGTTAGTTTTGGTATAAGTGTTTTACGTCAGATGCTCTTCCTGACAACCCTCACCGTTTACCCGGGCTTGGAACGTATTCTCTAAATTCTTGCTTGATTTGGGTCAGAGTTTGTCAGTCTTTGTTGTGATTTGCAGACAGAGCTGAACTCCAGAGAGGGTGCGTGGGAGAGGCTGTGCACTGAAAAAGACCCTCTGATTCTCTCCTGCCTTATGTGGTCATGGCTGGAGCAGCTCAAGGATCCAATAATCACCCAGGAAGATGTAGAAACCCTCAGTGAGAAGAACATAAATCTACAGAGTGTTCTCAACTCTCTGGACAAGGTACTTTTTATACAAAAACAAACTATCTGCTTTTTGAACCTGTTTCACAACTCAGTATGAGGAACTATTTTACTATATAACTTTCATCCGTCGCACTTTTCGTGTGTTCTAAATGTACAATTTATTTAAATTGACCCAATTTTCAAGTAATTTTAAATAAGCTCCCATAATTCCCATGGAACGTTGCCAGTATCCATCTATCCATCCATCCATTATATTTACCTGATTTTTCCTTTTTTTTTTTGGATCGCGGGGGTCACTGGTGCCCATATCCAGCCATCACTGTGCGAGAGGCGGTTAGGTCTCCAGTAGGGGTGCGAATCTCTTTGTCTGCCGATCCGATTCTATTCCGATTTTTGGTATCACGATACGATTCAAAATTGATTTTTTTCCAATTCGGAAACGATTTTCGATTTAGAAACAATTTTTCTATTGAAATGGTCGTAAATTTAGTTTAAATTATAATGTATATGTAACTGACAAGCTGAAAATATTAAAACAACAATGTAAACAAATAGAACATTTATTTAAAACAATCATTTTAGGTTCCTTACTGTGTCAAATCTTTTTGATTCATTTTATATTTATAGCAAAAATAGGAAAAAATATAGGAGTGCATAAAATTCTGTCACTTAAATTACCAGTATTAGGTTAGTTTAGTTGCCTGAATTTTTCTTAAAAAAATTTAAAAAAAATCTAGGAACAAATAAATCATCCATCCATCATCTTTATCCACTTCTTCCTTTTCGAGTCACTGGTTTCACTGGTGCCCATATCAGCCATCACTGTGTGAGAGGCAGGGGACAACAGGTTTCCAGTCCATCACAGACAAATAATTCAAAATATATAAATATACAGTAAAAGTAAAGAGACTTCAGCCTACCATAATACATTAACCTTTAACTCAAAATAAAATACAGACTTCACAGTTATTTTTAACCATATTGCTCTAACATTTGTTATATTTTCAAAACTTTACCTAATATGAAATATACAGACTTCACAGTCTTAACCATATTGATTCATATTTAGTAAATCTTTGACAAAATTTTAAAACCTGTGCAAGTTTTCACAAAAACCTCCTATGAACTGTAATT